TTTTTGAAAACAAAAGAATGTTTTATAACAAAATAATAGGAATAATCAACCGCTATCTAGCATAGTCCTAGAAATATGAAAGGCATTTCCATTTCCCAGATAAATGACACCTTCCTATGCCTCAGAATGGAAAAAGTTTATAATTTTGACAGTCAACTAGCTGTAAAACTATGAGGATCTTGACCAATTCTTTTATTCTGAAGAAATCTTTTTTATTTCAAAATAGTAACATAAAGTAAAATTATGTTAATGTCCTATATAACACAATTTCAAGTTTATATAATATATATTCACAATTAGATATATCCACACTGCACAGAAACCTGCAGATGACAAATGGAGAACCCTGTAATCGACAAGCTTTTCTTCAGGAAGGTCCCATTTGACCTTTGCAATGCCATGTAGTCACAGAAAATGAACACAAAATCTTTCAATTATATCTAGTGTATTACCCATTAAGCTTTCATTCTGGGCCTTGGTGACTATTGTTTATGGAATTCTGATGTGAACTGTATTCAATGGATTTCCTAGAAAAGGTTGTTAAATATGGTCCAGTGACTTTCTTGTCCTATCTTTAGAGAACCAGAGGTGTTGGGCTTTGTGAAACATTTTGGTGCTGTTCAGAGTATCTGTCACACATCCTCCTCTATTCTGGATAAAGAAATTTCCAAGGCTTCTTTTCATTAGTACCAGTGCTTTGTTTTTGTAGCTTACAGGAATAAAGAAAGGTAGATAATTCAGACTGAATAAAATAAAACTAAAAGGGAATAAAAGGGGGATTGGAAAAATGGCTCAGTCAATGAAGTGCTTGCTGTGGAGGAATGAGACCTGAGTTCAGATACCAACTGTCCAGTAAAAGCCTGGCACAGTAGTGCATGACTGTTGTCCTAGCAATTTGGAGCTAGAGACAGTTGGAAGCTAGGGCCTCACTAGCCGGACAGCTTAGCCAAATCAATGTTCTTCAGGCCCACTGAATGACCCTGTCTCAAAAAGCAAGAAGAAGAGCAACTGAAGAAGACAGCTAACATAAATCTCCAGATTCTATATATAAGCACACATGTATACACACACACACACACACACACACACACACACACACACACACACACACACACACACGAATATAAGGTAGCCAAAAGAGTACGGAGTTCAAAGCAGTATGAACAAAGCAACAACTAGCAATAATACAAATTTAAAAATAGAAAAGAAAAAGCCCACCCAACATGAAGGATTAATCAAGGCTTTTTTTTTTTTAATTGTTAAGCTGAGAAACAAGTAAACACCCTATCATTGTGAAAGCCCTCAAATGGGTCTCCTTGTTGTAGTCATTGGTTAGAGTGCTAGGACAGAGTTCCCATGGGTATCAGAGATTAGGTAGAAACACTGAATCTTTTTTTTAGAAAAAAAAGATTCAAAACCACACCAGACTCAGACGCTGGGCTCTGGATTAAGCCGTAAGGAAGACAATATGAATGAAAGGGAGACGTGGTCCCTGCCTTGAGGCTCAGTTTTGCAACCCTTCACCTCTTCCTAATCTCCCACGGGCTTTCTATCAGAAATAGAATTTGTCTGTCTGCTTTTCCATTTCCTGAGTTTAATCACGGAGTCTAGTATACCTAATTCATTCAAATATGGAACAGAGTAACTAAGACAGAAAATATGGTCTCAACCACAATTTGGGTGGTTTGGTTTTCTAAAGGTAGAAAATTCTCTTTTTTTTTTTGGATTTTATAATCCATTAACAGACTTGGCTGACATAGGACAATGTATATTAGTTTTATGTGGGAAAAAGTGTCCTTAATCCAGATAGAACTCACCACAACAAACTCTTCACAATTACTGCCTTATTTACCCAACTCATTAATTTGTCTCTGATGATCCTGACAACAGGAACAATTTCCTGTTTACTCCTAAACCCCTAACCTTTGATAGATAAGCCTGTAATTCTTAACTTTTGGCACATTATCTATAGTTACCTATAGTACTTCTGACAAAAATGGAAATGACCAGCTCTACTCTAGACCGAATGAGTCAGGTTCAGGGTTCATTACCTATGTGCCACTACTTTAAAAGAGCTTTTCTTTTTCTCTTTTAGGTCAAGGAACAAATCTTTTAAAAACACTTAATTCTTTTCATACAATATATTTTAATCACGATCTCCCTCCCCCAACTACTCTCAGATCTTCCCCACTCCTCTACTCACCCAACTTCATGTTTCTGTGCCTCTCAAAACCAACCAAACAAAACATTATAAAAATGAAAATCAAAACAAACCATAAGTCAAAAATTGCTAAAACCCAACAAAATGAAGCAAAAAGTCCACAAAAAGACAGAGTTCATTTGATGTTGGTCAACTACTCATGGGCTTGGACCTACTCTGAGGAGTGTGGTTAATATACCCATTGACACTTCATTGGAGAAAACTGATTTTCTCTTTGCCAGTGGGTATCAATTGCCAATGTCTTTTGTGGATTCCGTGTCTACTTCTCCATCTCATTGCTGGGACCCTACCAGGCTTGAACCTTGGTAGGTCTTACGTGTGCTTCTATAGTGCCTGTGAGTTCATGCCAGAAGATATTTGGCATGCAGCCAAGTGTTTATTCAATAAATGTATATTGACAAGATAATGAATACATAATAAATGTGAAGAAAAAAAATGAATGAATGAATAAAATTCCAGGACTATTTGGTTTTCTTTATATCATTCAGTGAGTTATAAACTGCTGTGGATATCGCTCTATATAAATAAAATGGTGATTGGCCAGTAGCCAGGCAGGACGTATAGGCGGGACAAGCAGAGAATTCTGGGAAGTGAAAGGCTGAGGCAGAGAGACACTGCCAGCCGCCACCATGAAAAGCAAGATGTAAGGTACCTGTAACCCACGAGCCACGTGGCAACTTACAGACTAATAGGTATGAGTTAATTTAAGATATAAGAACTAGATAGCTAGAAGCCTGAGCCATTAGGTCATACATTTTGTAATTTGTGTTTACTTGGTTGGGTCTGAGCAGTTGCAGGACTGGCAGGTGAGAGAGATTTGTCCTGACCATGGGCCAGGCAGGACTGGAGAAAACTTCAGTTACAATAAACAGCTTGACTTTGATATGAATGACTGACCAAATGAAAAGCAAAACATTATTAGTCACAAAAAACATGACAACTATTAAAAACAAAATAATGATAGAGGTCCAGACCACTGTGTCAAATGTGATTGTGGGCACGAAATCATGATGTTAATGGGGCAATTGAGCCCTCAAATTTGCTAGCAATTTCATTGTCTCAACACACATGATTGCAAGGATTTAATTATATTGCATAATGACTGGGCTTGTCCTTAATTCATTGAGCACCTGCAGATAATTTTCACTTCAGGAAATGCAAAATTACAAACCCTTTCTGTATGATACTTGTATGTTGACAGTGTATGTGTTTGCAATGTTTACATAATTCTTTTGCAAAATAAAAATAAAATTAGAAATTTACATTTAAAACTCATTAAGATCTCATGCAATTTAAACAGCATAAACATAGCCACTGTTTAAAATGTAAAAGCTAAAGGAAATGCTGTTTACATGAAATAAACTGTCAATATTGTTACTTCAGGAATTCTTCCCAGAAATCAACCAAAAAGCACTCTTCCTTGTGTCTTGATACATATATATTCACACCTATATGAACTTATGCATATATATAACTATATATAAGAGAATGAGTTGCAAAATAGTTTATTACATGCTTTTTTTTAACTTACCTTACTTTGAAAAATAACTTCAGCTGTATAAATATCTGATTCATTTTGTTTGTTCCCTTATCAAGTATTTATATCAATAAGCACATACCAGATGGTTCAGAATACAATTGTAAATAAGATAAAAGTAGCTTTAGTCAGGTGAAGTTCATATTGCCACCATAACAGGAACATGTAAGATATTCCCTATTGTTATCACAGAGGACCTGTAGTAAATATGTAAACTACACGCTTTAGGTTTCTATACAGCACAAAAGCTCTACAGAGCATAATGGCACTCAGAATCTGAGCAAAGTCTTTAGCCCTGTATGAGAACCTTGGATGTCCATAGAACTGGAACTGTTTAGGTCAAAGGGTATTTTTGCCATTTAAATTTGAATCAATACTTCTAAATTTACCCTCGAAGTAGATTGCACCAATTTACTTACATCAATAGTATATTATAGAGTCAATCTTCCCACATCCTTGCCAGTACGAGGAATGATCACTACTCAGCCCTGACTAGTCTAATAGTAGGCAAATGATAGTGTACTGTTGTTTTAATTTGCATTCTTTGGCAATTAGTAGGTTTGGGCATCTTTTCAAATCTAATAGCCATTTGATTCTGGCTGTAAATTGCTTGAATAAATCTTATGCTCATGTTCTTAATGTGATATTACTTTTTTCCTTTATTGATTTGGAAGGCTTGTTTATAAAATAATAATACTAACCCTTATTCTCTCATATATAAATTATTTTTTTAGACTATGACCTCAATTTTGTAGATTTTCTACTATACAGAAGTCAAGTGTGGACTGAATCCCAACCCAGAAAATTCTAAGAGTGGTGAATTGTGTGTGTGTTGGGAGGGGTGGCAGTATATATATATGTGTATGCAGGTATGAGTGAGTGCCTGTGCACGCTCATGAGGAAGCTAAAGGAGGGCACAGGATGTCTTCTCCTTTAGCTCTCTGTCTCACATGCCTCAAGACAATGTCTCAGAACCAGAAGCCCACTTCTGGGCTAGGCTGGCTTGACAGAGAATGTCCATGGTCTGCTGTCTCCACTCCACAATAATTGGGGGCTAGCCAGGCCTGACTTTTTACGTGGTTGCTGAGGATTCAGATTCAAGTTCTCAAGTTTGCAAAGCAAACACTCTCATCCACAGAATCATCTCATCACGCCCTACCCCCTCACCACCCCCCCCCCACTTTTTCCCATTTATTTATTGATTTATTTAGGTTATACCACAATGAAGAAAGCTTACTCCTCTCCAACATTATCAGCTTTATTCTGGATATATTTCTGGTTTTGTTTATATGCTTAAGTATTTGATTCACATGAAAAATAACTTCTGTTACAGTATGAGGGTTTAACACACTGCTATTTTATAAATGCTACATTTCTCCTATTGATTTACCACATCATTCTGATGATATACTGCATTTCAAGTTACAGATAAAAGTACTCCAGCATTCTCAATTGTCTTACATTTATGCATTTCTCTATTTTTTACCAATACAAAACTATTTTTAAATACTGATTATTGCTTCCTTATGCTAGGTTTTGTCACTTGGGGTAACCTTACTAGTTCATAACTAACCTTCTTTTCAAAGTTGTGTTGGACATTTCTCTTGCATTTATCATTCCAAATTAAATAAATAATTAATGAAGCATATACAAAAACAGTAGTATAATTAGGACTGCAGTAACTTTATAGGCTAATGTGAATAATAATAATTAACATTACCTTAATATTAAACCAATCCATCTAAAGAACACAGTATTTCTGTTAATATTTTACATGTTGTCACTATAGTTTAATAGCTGTGGTCATCTAGGTCATGGTCAAGCATCTCTAAGTACACCATTTACACAAACACATCTTACTAGGGAAAAGCATAGGAAAGGTCATGCTTCTAGAAAGACAGCATTGGATAACAGAAATGGTCCTAACTTCAGGAAAGCCTTTCTCTTTATTGCTGTGGGCATGAGGCAACATACTTAGCCTCTGAGTTTGTCATCCAGTGGTAAGATGTCACATTTATAACTCTGGAACATGGGATTATTGTGAATATGAAATATTAGAAGCATTCAAGGAGCATTTAGCGTACATTTAGGGGGAAAAAGTCCCTGGTGGATACCATTCACACATTTACTTTTCTCTTATTCTCAGCTGTAAAACAGAGTGGGTATTAGACATTAAGGATTTGCCAAACACTTATTATAGTATAATAGGAGAGGTCAGCATCCAAAAGAAAGTACAAAATGTCTCTAATGCACAAATTAATGATACATCACCAAATTTACAAAGTATTGCTTATATATATTTAAAAGATGAGGATGTAGAATTCGTATTACACTTGATGTTGGCTATTTAATAACTGGTGCTATGAAGATGAACCTGAACTTCATTAACATAAACCATCCAGATTATGTTTCAACCATCTGGCCAGGAGATTATTTTCCATAATTAAACTTCTAAATTTCTCTTGCAATATAAATTATACAACTTGTATTCTGTTATTTTAAGAGTACAACATTTTTATTTTTTAATTATATATTTTTTCTGTTTCTGTTTCTTTTTCTGTAGCTTTCATAGGATATCTTTTTCCACAGGTATCTTCTTTCTTAAGCATAGTTCCACAACAATAAAATAGATTGTGAGTCATTTTAATCCACTCCTTTGTCTTCACAGTCTTGCTCTGCTGGTCCATTTATTTAGTCTGACTATTAGCTGATGTGCATATAAAGTTACCAGTAGAAAACCTCTAGACTAAAACAATTACAGTCCAGAATGTCACAAAAAATATTCTGCAAGACCTAACAAATGCATACACTTAACAATACACCAATCATTCATTTAGCCAACATTTAAAATTTTTTATAGGCTAAACACCGAGGATTAAAACACTTAAAAGTATGTCATCACTGACCTCAAGAAATTCAAACCCTTTACTAAGAATGAAAAGCCAATGTTATGCCGACTGCTACCAAAGACATGGTGCACACTAACACAGAGTAAAAAGAGAAGGAAGATTCCTGGTTGTCTACCTACATTTTCTAAACTGATGTTTTCAGGAAAGTGGCATAGTAAAATGTAACACCCTCAAATCCCAACCAAACAACAGAACATTTCTGTCACACGTGTATAGAAAATGCAGGATGCCACATTCCTCTGCAAAGCCACAATGACCATGGTAAAGTCTTAAGAATAACTATTTAAAAGTTCTTTATTACTCACTGTTCTTCAAGGGTTTGTGTGGTATACACATGTGTTCACATATATGAGACTCTGTGTGTGTGTGTATGTATGTATGTATGTATGTATGTATGCACATGTGTGTGTGCACAAGTGCGTAGGCATTAAGTGGAGGAGCTAACATTAAGTGTCTTCCTCAATAACTTTTCACTCTGTATATTAAGGAAAGGTCTCATCCTGAACACGAAGCTCACCAATTCAGGCTAGTCTAACTAGTCATCTTGGCCCTGATTCTGTCTCTGCCTCCAGGATGCAGACACCTGGCTTTTATGTGGATACTGGGGATCCAAACTCCAGTACTTGGTTTGCATGGCAAACATTTAATCCACCGAGCCATCTCTCCAGCTGCTTTTATTTTCAAAAACTAATTACTCCATATCATTTATTTTACAGGTAACACTTGGGAAACGCTGAAAGCAGACTTTCTGTTAATCATGTTTATGTACTTTAATTATGTCAATAAATCCTTACTCAAATTATAAGAGGTAAGAAGCAGTCATCCTTATATTCGAAATAGAGCTAAACAACAACAAACAAAACAAAAAGCAAACAAACAAAAAAACCAAGGGGTCAAACGTTGCTTCCAAAGTTTGCACGTATTGTATGCAGATGAACCCCATGACTTTAAACACCACTAATCTACCTTGTTGGTAAAAAATAGTGCATCTAAAAACTCTAAAATAAAATGAAGATTTCTGAGCAGTTTATCCGACACTTAGAGAAGTTCAGATCAGTGCTGTTTGTTGTTGTTAAAATTCATCATAGGAGTTTAAATATAATTCATTGTCTTTAGGATCATCTTGGACTTAAATGTGTTCAAAATAAGGCAGCAATTTTAAGACGGTATGTTCAGCAAATCTCCTCATCTCCTCTTTCCTAGTTAGGAGGAAGGAAGCTGAAATGATAGCACCAGGTTCAGCATGGTTTACACAGGCTCTGATTCCATGTCAGGTGTTTTATGCAACAATCTCATTTTCTGGGGAAAAAAAAGTATAGAATCTTTACTCTACACCTGAATAGCTTGTTATTGAGAGATGTTTTAATGGACGTCAAATCTCTCTGCATCAAGTTGCAAGAGTTTGGCTTTCTCTCTGCATGTCCCTGGGGGAGATGTGCATTGTCAACCCTAAAGACTGTGCATCTGGTGAGAGCAGCAACCTTCCTGGGCTCATAACCTGGGAATGGAAATGAATCTCTTTGGCTTTTGTTCTTTTCATTCTATTGAAAATAACTTATTGTTAGCTCAGGTTATTAGACTGCACATTTGTCTCCCCTTTTCATTTGCTTCCTTGATAGTGGGTTTATAAAAGCAACAGTTGTGACTGGTGCCATTATCTAGATGTTTGGGTAGGTGCAGATTACATGTATCTGATTAAGAATCAAAATGTACTCAGTTCACCTGTTAGCAAGGACGTACATTACAGTTGTTTTTATGTTTTAAATAGGATTGCTAAATATGCTCCAGTTAAGCAAAAATAGGGAGAAGTTAAGTTTATATATAAAACAGAGTAGTTTTTTTTTCCTGGCAAAAATCTTGAAGAATTAAGCCCAGCTCCTTTTATTTTCTTTAAAGCTTCTTCGGAAATCTTGACAGAGAAGATAAAATGTTTTCCAAACACTTGTTGTTACACATTCATCATAAACACATGGTTTTTAACAGTAAGAGGGTAGCATGCCTGGCTTTCTTCTCCAGCCCCTGCAAAACCCTTTCCTTTGACTAAGGATGCCTTTTCTTTCTTCTTGAAGTTTCTATCTACTTACCTTTAATACTCACCAAGATGCCCTATTTTTTTTTTTTTTTTTTACCACATATTTCAACTTAGTACTCTGCACTGTGAGTTTCAGTTCATACTAAGTTGTAAAAAGGCCAGGAACTAACTCTTATTTACCAATCCCAGGCACACAGACAGATTAGTGATGGTGACAAGGAGGAAAACCCACTGGATAAGAGCTATCTTACCAATCTGAGTCAGAGATAATGATGTACAGGAAGTGGTACTCATCTCTTCCTAAGGCTGCTCATGTGTACAGGATTATGTGGAGATGTTCCCTGGAGATTGTTTCAAATTCTCAAATGGTCCCATAAGACTGTTCATGTGTGCAAGGTTATGTGGAGATGACCAACCCTCATCTCCATCACATGCTGAAATGGTCCCAGAACCCCACATAAGGTTAATTCCTGGTGAAAGCAAACTATGTTGGCTCAACTTTTTGTCCCTAACTTATCATTTTCAATCATGTCATGCAAAAAGACTTCAGCATTCTCTTGGCACCTAATACCACCACTGCATGGGTTGCAAACTTCCTTCACATGTCACCAAAGAAGCTGGATACTTCATGAACTGTTAGTTGTTTTTTTTTTTTTTTCTGAGTTACAAAGCCATAACTTAATAACAGCAGTCTATATTACACATAATAATGGAACTCAATTTGTACATGAAAGCAGTCAGAGTACAGTAATAGAAAAAAAACACCATCTTTTCACTAGATAAATGATTTCAAGTCCCATAGAGAAATTAACATTTTTCGTTTTAGGATACCCTAGTACTACTCACACTTTTTAAAAATTTAATACATTCACATGCTCTAATGTATTGAGATTTTTAAGCTCGTGGATGAAATTAGCAACGTGCTGTGGCTGTCAACACGATGCATTGCAATCCTCCTGAGTCGTAGGGTTTAAAAATTAATTGAGCTCTTGCACCTGTTTGCTGGTATTCATCTGCTGAGTTTCCATCACATTTAATAAGTCTCTGTGACGCAACTCGTGTCCTTTCGCCTGGGATCCTTTAATACAGTGTTCAATTTTCACCAGTCTGAAATTCAAGTAATATTACAAATTTCAAACTGTTAATTAAAATCTGTGAAACAGAATGATTCTGGGTAAAATTGGCTTTAGTCAGTGAGGTTCTATTTAAACTTCTTTAAAGTCTCATCTGATCTCTAATTTCTACCAGGTTAATTCTGATGATAACATAATCTCACTATGAGCAGCTGAGGTCTGCAAAAGGGAATAACACACAGGTCTTGTGGGCTATTGTAAGGATTTGTGAGTTTATTTATAAAAATAATTTTAGTTCCTAGCATTTGCTCAATAAACATTAGTATTACTTATCATTATTATTTTCGCCATTAAACTAGTGCTTGGTCTTGGTTAGCTGGTATTGGAACATCTCTCCTTTCTGCTTAGTACTACTGACTAAGACTAGCTAAACATTATTCAGTATGTGTGCGTATATCTGTGCAAGTGTATGTCATATGTACAGGTGCCTGTGGAAGCCAGAAGAATATGCTGGATCACCTGGAGCAGGAGTTAAAGGCAATTGTGATTTTTCCCCACGTGGGTGCTGGGAACTGAACTTGGGTCTTCTGCAAGAGCAGTGAGCTGTCTCTCCAGCCCGAAGCTATATTTTCTTTTGAAGAAGTAAGATTTTTAGGTTTTCTTCCTACCTATCCTGCCACAGATTGCATTCTCATCGAAGCTGGACTTCTTGTATAGGAAATCTGTTTATTCATGGAATGCTATTTGATAATCCAGTTTCAAAATAGTACAACATTAACAAATATGGTATGCAATAGTTTTAATTCAATAAATTTCAAATGTAAGAATAACAATGAGGAACTACAGCCATGACATGTTAGCATAACATCAAAATTCAATTGTGGGTTTACCAATACCATTTTTTTAATCTATATGGTAATGAAACAACCAAATACTTTACTTCTTGTTTCAATGTTAGTATAAAGAACACTTTTTTTTTTAAGACAGAGGAAGCACACAATATAGTGATAAAAAACTACCTTGACTAACTGCTTTATGAAAAAAAATATGTTCATATTAAAGTTTGATGGCAACAATTATTTCTTGATAAATGTCTTATTTATTTCTAAAAATTTCCCTTTGCCTTAAAACATTGCTAATAAAAGATGGTTTCAGAAATAAGTAAGAGCATATGCCATTAATGTAACTCACCTTATTTTCTAACTTCATCCTAATAAGCACTGTATTACTATAGCAACTCTTCTTGTTACTTAAAGTATCAATTGACATTTCAACAGTAAATTTATTTCTGTGGAAAGATATGCTTTACATGTCCCAATGCAGGAAAAGATGATTATTTTTCTTTTTCCTAAAAGTCATGTCATCCCTACGGGAAGAAAGGTTGAAATGAAGTGATCAACTTATCACAGATCATACTGCTTAGCAAAGTACAGGTGAGAAAAGGCCACACAGGAGTTCTGTGCAGTGCATTCGTTTGCTCTCTGACTTACCCTGGATTTGGATAGAAAGGGCAGGAAATGTGTATAAGTACACCTGGACCTTAACTCTCACAGAAAATATTCTTAGATGCCATCTCATTGGCAGGTCATTTTTCATTCTCAAAAAAAGGTAATTCAGATCTGAGAAGATTAATCACTCACTCAAGTTTACAGAGCAAATACAGACAAAGAATAGATTTGAGGATGCCCCCCACCCCGTGTGTGTGTGTGTGTGTGTGTGTGTGTGTGTGTGTGTGTGCATATGTCTGTATGAATGTGTATGGAGGCTAAAGATCATCCTCAATGTTGTTACTCAGGTGTCATCCACCTTGTTTGTTTGGTTTTGGTTTTGGTTTGATTTGAAACAAGGTCTCTCACTGGCCTACAGCTCACCAATTAGGCTACACTGACTAGCCAGAGAGTCACCAGGATCTGCCTGCTTCTCCCTGTAATTTCAGCACAGGAATTACAATTGTATGCTAACATTCTGACTTTTTCTTTTTACAATGGATCTAGGGCTCCATCTCAGGTCCTCCATCTTGTGTGGCATTGTGATCTGATTGAGCTGATTGTCCACAGCCCAGTTTAAAGAGGTTTTTGTTACCTCTCCTTAAGCTTCTTGATCCTTTTGATGGTCTATGTCTCCTTACAACTGATTCCCAGTTAACACCTAGGCATCGATAATTTCTCCCTGAATTCTCATTTTACTTTGGCTATAAATGTACACAAAATCTCATGGATTTATTTGTCCAACAAGCATACATTAAGCCCTGGCCTTGTATCTAGTTTATGAGTCAGAATAAAGGTTACATAAAATTCTACTCAGGTAATAAGCATATACATTTAATCTACATGAATCACAAGTACAAACAAAGCTTCACTGCCTTCATTTTTTCTATCCAAATAGTATCATGAATCACCTACCAACTTCTGACTGTGGATAGATCAACTGTCTAACTTGTGAACATATAGTTCTTTAGGTGTATTTTGAATTTGGCAAAAGGTTTTAGACTAGAAATGAATACTTATATTGGTTTAAGCAAAATATAATTAGTATGATTATGTCTGCTTAACAAAAATAATGCAAACTTGTCATCATAGCTGCTAGTCACTTCTAGCTCAAGATAAGAAAGAATAGGTCCAGAGCTGTTTTAGTTTATGTAGGAAGCAAGATGGAGGACAAGGTCTTCAACTAAGTCTTTTCTTCCACAAGATTAGCATTTAATTAGTGATCACCTTTTGTGGCCAACGAAGAGAAAAGACACTAGAATTTGGAGTGCTCCAGGACAAAATGATGACAATTAGCCTCGTGAAAATACTTAGACTTAAATTTCTCAAATAGAACCAGACCAACAATCTTAGCTTCTTTTTAAGACTAAGTAAAATTACATACATTCTGCAAAATTCTAGATACAGTCACTTCTTTCCAAATTGTTTTTCCCCCATAAAGAGTGTGTTTATGTTTGTTATTTGTCATTTTAAAGATTCTATGATCAATAAAATATTTTGTCTGAGAATTATTTTTCTTCAGCGTTTTATTAGAAAGATAGGAATATAAATAATTTTTTTTTTTTTTTTTTTTTTTTTTGGTTTTTCGAGACAGGGTTTCTCTGTGTAGCTTTGCGCCTTTCCTGGGACTCACTTGGTAGCCCAGGCTGGCCTCGAACTCACAGAGATCCGCCTGGCTCTGCCTCCCGAGTGCTGGGATTAAAGGCGTGCGCCACCACCGCCCGGCAGGAATATAAATAATTTTATCCTAAAAATGAACAAACCAAAACACTGAGAAGCAATGTGGTTTTTTTTTTTTTTTTTTTTTTTTTTTTTTTTTTTTTTTTTTTTTTTAGCTTGCCAGCATATGCTATTTCAATGTTGTTAGAGCATTTACATTCTTATGACCTATGAAATCGGGAATCCTTTTTTTTTTTTAATCATGTGATGTTATTTTAGAGTCAAGATTCCCTGATTTAATGTGCATTTGTTAATTTCATGCCTTAACATTGGAAAATGTCTCCCAAGGTTCAAACACCATGATATGACAATCCTATCTATTGTCTTATGGTACCTAAGGCTACTGCACATGTTCAATAAAATAAAATGTGGTACTACACGTAGTATGTAAAGTTTTTCTACATTTAAAAATACTAAAGAGGGAAAGTTAATTTTTTTAAAACCATAGAAAACACTGATGCCATTTATATTGCCATTTTAACATATAATTAAGACAAAACTATTTTATAATTATACAGTATTAAAAATATGGAACTTATTTTACATTTATGGCACTGAAATTTTATATTTATTTTTTGAAATTAAAATATAATTATATCAGTGTCCATTAGCCTTTCCTTCTTAAAGCCCTGTCTTGTACCCTTCTAGTTCTCCCAAATCCATGGCTTCTTGTTTTGGAGCAGCCACATGTCAAATGCATGACCAATGTTACTATTGGCAACTATACTGAACAATAAATACAACTGTAGAAGACAACCTGAAAAAACAGACGCACCATATCTGTACCATGAACTTTTGTTCACGCAGTACTACAGAGGCACCTGGGCAAACATCTTAGCTATTTCAAGTACTCCCAGAGGCTAAACCAGAATTAATCAGAGGAAATGGACATGAGAGAAGGGGCAGAAAGGCCACAATTCTGGGTACAAGTGTGTTTAAGACCTGTGGGGAGACAACTATATGTCTGAAAGGCTGCAAGAATGTCAGTATGCCTGGAATACAAAGGCTACAGCCAGACAATGACTTAGCAGAGGTGACCAACAGTCTACTTCTAAACTGACATTTAGTAAATGACTTATAGTCATTTTTAATTCCTAAACTTTATGACTTTGCTTCTTCATTTATAAGCATATTAGAATAAAAGTTATGCTTAAATGTGAATTATTACTTACAAATTATTTTTGAAGGGAATACTGTATATACTGTTGACAATACTTACTATATGTATGTTAAATATATTAAAACACATGGATATATTTTCTAAATACGTATAAGAACATCAACAGTCAAGTTCCAGAGGTAATTTGGGGAATTATAAAATGATTATACATTATATTTTATGATTTATAAAATACATAATAGTTGTGATAAGGAGAGTTCCAACTCACAGCCTGGCTTTTGCCTTTGGGAACCTCCATGATAGTCCCAGTGCCAGCAAAAGGCATAGGCTTGCCAGGCAGTGGTGGCGCACGCCTTTAATACCAGCACTCGGGAGGCAGAGGCAAGCGGATTTCTGTGAGTTTGAGGCCAGCCTGGTCTACAGAGTGAGTTCGAGGCCAGCCTGGTCTACAGAGTGAGTTCCAGGATAGCCAAGGCTACACAGAGAAACTCTGTCTTAAAAAACAACAAAAAAACCCAAAACAACAACAACAACAACAAAAAGGCACAGGCTCTAGGTTTACACATTACTGCACATTGATCTGATGGATATTATGACTTCAGGGGTGGTTCTTGGGATTCCTTAGCCTCTTGGATTATAAGTTTTTGAAAAGAAAAGGAAGTGATTTATATTTCCATAAAAACATGGGTTTTAAGATGTGTCAGGAACTGAATAGGCTATATCCCAGTGTTCTGGGATATATCTTGTGTGTGTGTGTGTGTGTGTGTGTGTGTGTGTGTGTGTGTGTGTGTGTGTGTGTGTGTATGCAGGTTTAAAGACATTAATGTGAATTTATTAGAAGCAGAAAGGCACTTAAATATACCCTCTATACATTTAGCTTGACAAAAATACTTGTTTCTTGAATAGAATTATTGCTTAGGAATGACACTGTTTAGAAGAGTATCTGTCTCCCATTATTTGCATCTACCCAGAACCTGTGATTGTGCTCTGCCAAGGAAACAGGATCTTTGTAGATGTCAGAAAGTTAAGTCAAACACATACTGGATTCAGATGGGTCCTGAAACACAGATGAGTGGTTTCTAATAAAAGTAGGAAATTCAGAACAAAAACAGAGGCAGAGGAACAATGTCAAATGATTGTGGAGTCAGAGACAGAGACTTCTACAAGACACAGAACACCTGGCATGGTATGCTGGCAACCAGTAAGTTCTAGGAAAAGTTAAGGAAGTATCTTGGCCAGTGTCCTACTGCTATCTCCATTTCAGCTCAAGTTTTGGAACTGGAAAAACACATTTCTGTTGTTTGAAGCCCCCCAGGCAGCGGAACTTTGTAAATGACAGCTCTAGGAAATGATGCAGGTATCATCCTGTTGCTGTTTCCTGTTTCCTTCAAGAAGCAGCTCTCATAACACATTTTCATTTGTCAGTTTACAAACAACCCCCCTTTTTTTTTCTGTTCAAGAAATTGTTTTGAGGTAGTATTCTACTTTGTAGTTTTAACATAAAGTCTTGCTTCAATCAAAGAGCTCCATGTTCATAGCATTTACTATTGTCATTAGGGAACTGAACAAAATGTTACATAAAATTACTAAATATTTACTATGAAAGAAAAGACATACAGAGTAAGCTGTTTCTTTACGACATTGCTTCCCTGGCTGTGCAGAAAGCTTTTAAGTTCACGTAATCCAATTTATCAATTCTTGACATTATTTCTGAGCATAGTTGAATCTTTTTCAGAAAGTCAATTCTCAACCCTCTATCTTCAAATGTTTTCTCTCTAATTAACTCCAACCATCTTAAAGTCTCAAGTTTTACCTTATGGTCTTTGATCCATATCAATTGAATTTTAAGAAAGATGAGAGGTGGATCTAGTCTCATTCTTGTACATGTGGATATCATTTTCATAGCACTGTTTTTGGAAGATGCTATTTCTACTCTAAAGAATGTTTTTGATATCTTTCATAAATCAGTTGGGCCATAGGTTTTGAGTATATTCTTAGATATGCTACTTTCTTTTTTCTTTTTTTATTAAGGATATTTTA